CCACATAAGGCACTGCTAAGTCGGGCGTGGTACAGAACCGGGCGACAGCAAAGCTGCCTAACACCAAAGTTCGGTGGCTGAAGAAACTGACCGACTCAACCGTGGCTACCGCCTACCAAAACAAGTTAGCTGCCGATCTACACAATCCGTTATTCTTGAACGTTGATAACACATCCATAACGTCAGGCATAAGTCTGTCACCACATGTGGATTCAGCGAATCCACGGTCAAACACTTGGTTTCCGCATGTTCTCCAAATACTTGAAACTCGTCGAGTTATCCTTCTCGGCAATGAATATAACACAGTTCGTAGGAATCGCAGTGCTGGACTGAAACGGTTCCTAAGGGCGAAAAGAGAGATATCTGGTGGGTACCACATGCTTTCGAGATGGAACTAGACAGTTTCCATTATCCATCATGACAAGACTGCACCTTGACGTGGTGCAATGGCCTGCGTATGTTGGGACGGAGCTTAAGCAACCTGTCTGATCGCGCACGCCTCCGAATCAGGCCACACGCACGCTCGCAACGCTCCAGACAAGGCTGAGCCTGATTGGATGATCACAGAAGGAATCAGCCAGTATTTGTTCAATCGATGTCATGGACGCAATCTGATTGGCTTGTGCATCACTGCGCCGTTGTCGTATGCGCGATTTGTCCTATATATTTGCGTATCGATATCTAATAAAAAAAGAATACACAGTGACTATTGTCCCCAGCTTTGTTCTCTCCGCGTTATCGTTGGGGGTTAAGCAAGAGTAGCAGTGTCATTCGTTACGTATAGACCGAACACAACAACGTGCCTCCATCCAAATGGGCAGCCAAAAGACAGCAACCAAAACCGGCGCACGAAAGTGCATGGTTGATGACTGTTCAAACTGAACTGAGCTGAACTGAACGTGCCTTCATGACCCTGTGAGCTATAAACGAGAGCGTTTCACAGCCGTCGATTCATCCATGTCTGAAAGGTCAACGAGTGGAGGCCAGACAAAGCTAGCTGCTTGGTAACCCCTGGCTTCCTTTATTTACCCACGCTCGCCCCTGAAGAGGTCACTCTACCAAAAAAACATGTGGCAGTTTACCGATCAAAAAGCCCGCTATATGGACGTAGGCGTTGGGTACCTGGGGCTTCCTCTCGACGGTGGGAGAAGTCTTCACACTTCAATAGACAGCTGCCGCCCGCCCGAGCTGGGCAGCCCCCAGCCAATAAGATGTTGTCCTATCTAAGTTCCGTTTGTCTCATTGATTGCATGAGACTAAGGGCCGATCCCCAACAGTGGAATGACAATCAACGCACCAGCGAACAAAACACTGAACCGAAACCCGAAGGTCTTGCGTGAAAGATCTCTAGGGGCTCCCACACAGGTGCTTTCCGCCATGCTCCCACGTAGGATTTACGCCCCACTGCCTTGTGGGTCAGATTTTTGAGTCGAAGTCTCCTGTTAGGGTTCCCGAAGAAAAATCACTTTGTCCATGCAGGCTACCGCGAGGTATGTCGTGCCCCAAAGGTTTGGGCACCCATTTGGAAAAAAAAATTTCCATTCGTCTAATTCTTCCTCTCAATCCTGAATAATCCCAAACGTCTTTTGTTTATGACATTAATGGGTCAAACAATCAGTAGTTGTAAGATTTTTGAAGCCAAATTTCTCTCTTCACTTAGGCGCGCTCAATGTCCACACACTCAGATTGGTCAACAAGCCGCCTTGGCCTTCTTGAAAATTTCCATTTAGTTGTATGTTGTGTCTCCGAAACTCGCACACCCTGCTTCAATCATCTCCCTGCGTTTTGTTGATCGAACCTTATCCTCACGCTTCAAGTGTCAAGGTTGAGCGC